ACATGTCTGTCATATATTTGGAACACATTTGGAAGGCACTGTGTAAGTTAACTTTTAAAAAATATATCAGGCTTCATTAGAAGATTTTTCTTGACATTATTGATATTATTCGTGTTTTTGCCTGATGGGGTGGGAGTGCTTTTTAACTGATGGAAAATTAGGGCCACTTTGGTTATTAAATAGGATAAAATAAGGAGATAAAAGACTCTAAATGGAAGAATATTCTTGTAGGAGGTGAGAAAGGCTAAACCCATGAAAATGTGTACTACTTGGATGCTTCTCTCTGTATAAATTATGTATTATTTTATGAAAAAGTTTACAAAATTTTAATCAACTTCACTACATAATTTAAATGCCTAAAAAAGGTACTATATGTCACAAAGTTACAGATATTAATTCTCATTTGATATTTGGTGTTAATCAATGTTGTGTTTTCTAATGTTTTAATTAGTTCGTTTTTAAAAGAATTGCAACCTAAATATTTGTTTTCAAGTTCAGTTGTTTTGTGATGTCAAAACATAGACAACTAGCAGAATGGGAGAAAATATTTCTAAATTGTGTATCTGATAAGGGATTAATGTCTAAGTTATATAAAGAATTATATCTCAACAACTACAAAAAACCCAACTCAGAAATGAGCAAAGGACATGAACACACATTTCTCCAAAGAAAATATACAAATGACCAATAAGCACATGAAATGATGCTTAACATCCTTAGCCATTAGGGAAATGCAAATCAAAATCACAATGAGACACTACTTCATACCAATTAGGATTCAGCTGTTTAAAAAAAGTAAGTGTGCTGAAGATGTGGAGAAGTTGAAACCCTCATGCATTGCTGATGGGACTGTAAACTGGCATAGCTGCTGTAAAACCAGTGTGATGGTTTCTCAAAAAATTAAACATAGAATTATCATATGATCCAGCCATTTCACGTCTAGGCATATACCTAAAGCATTCAAAGTAGCTGACTCGGGTACCTGTATACCAGTATATTCAGAGTAGCCAAAAACATGGAAACAACTCATGTTCATCAGCAGATGAATAGATAAACAAAATGTGGTGTAAAGCTACATAGGAATGTATTCAGCCATAAAAAGGAATGAAATTCTGACACATGCCACAACATGGGTAAACCTTAAAGATATTATGCTAAGTGAAATAAACCAGGCACAAAAAGGACAGATATTGCATAATTCTACTTACATGAGGTACCTAGAATAGGCAAGTTCATGGAAACAGAAAAGTAGAATAGAGGTTACCAATGGCTGAGAGGCAGAGGGAAATGGGGATTTCTTGTTTAAATGGGTACTAAGTTTCTGTTTAGGATAATGAAAAATTTCTAAAATGGAGAGTGGGGATGGTTGCATAACATTGAGAATGAATTTATTACTAATGAATTGTACATTTAAAATTGTTAAAATGATAATTTTTTCTTATAAAACTTTATTACAATAAAACATTAAAATAAAACAAAGTTAAAAACTGACTAAGGAGGAGGGTCAACATGGTGGCGTAGGTAAACACAGTACTCTCCTCTTCCCACAACCACCTCAAAATTACAACTAAACTACAGAACAGCCATCATTCAGAACCACTTGAAATCTGACAGAATGGAAGTCCTACAACTAGAGAATTAAAGAAGCCACATCGAGACTAGTAAGAGTGGCAGAGGCACATAACGGGCTGGTTCGACACCCACCTGTAGTGTTTGTTTAATCGGGAGGGATATGTAGGCTGTGGAGGTACCCATGAGGAGTAAGGGGTCCCAACGCCACATCAGAAGCCTCAGCCCAGGGTTCCAGTGCCGGGAAGAGAAGTACCCATAACTTCAGGCTGTAAAATCCAGCGGGGATTGTGGCTGAGTGATACAGAGGGTTGCTAGAGTCCCAGGCATTTCCTATTAAAGGGCTGCTTCACAGACTTAACTCGGACTCACTCTCTCTGAGCTCCAGTGCTGGGGCAGCACCCTGAAAGGATCCAGGGCTATGCAGGAAGGAACTCAATTGTCTGGTATCAGGGCAAGAACTGGAGGCAGCTTTCTCCCAGACAGAAGTGCTGGCAGAGGTAATTGTTCCTTTGCTGAGACCTCCCTAACGCAGTGCCAGCAGGTAGTTGCCATATCTGAGTTTCCATCAACCTGGCCCACACTGCTCATCTCACCCTAGTGATTCCCTGAGACCCTGCCACACCCAATTTGCAACTCCACTGAAGTTCTTTGAAGTGGCTTTTCCATATGAATGGCCTGTCCTAGTTCAGGCTTCAGACTTTGCTAAAATCTCTCAAATAACCAGGAGCTGGCCTCAGCGTACCCCATACCTATTGATAAGTGGCCCAAGGCCTGACACTAGCAACTGGCTGCACAGCATGGCCTCTCCTAGGCACCTCCAAGCCCAATACAAGTAGCAGTTATTTGCAAATCACTCTGTAGCTTATGCCAGGTGGCCTCAGACAGGGCACAGGCAGTAGCTGATTTTGAACCTCCCAGGAGGCTCCTAAGCCAGTGCACCTGGTGCTCAGCTTCAGACTATGCCAGATTACAGCCCTACCATGAGCAATACATTCAAGGGGCTGACTCAGTGAGCACCAACAAGTCCTACTCCCTAGGGGTGTCTCCTGCATAGCATCTCTTCCTCTGTAGTCACAGCTGGTTCGCATAGCCAGTTTGCCTGGGGGTCAGTCCCTCATAGTGACGAGATCAGCAATCAAGGCTCAAGTATAGCAGGACAGTGCACGCAGCCCACATAGGGTCACACCTACAGTGCCCAGCTGAGGTTACCAGGGAGGCTGAGTCACTGGGCCCTACAAGACAGCTAGTACACAAGGCCATTGTACCAATTCCAGGAGACATAGCAGCTCTGCTGAATACATAGAAACAAATACAGGGAAGCAGCCAAAATGCAGAGACAAAGAAACATGTCACAAATGAAAGAATAAGAAATCTGCAGAAAAAGAACTAAATGAAATGGAAGTAAGCAAACTACAGAGTTCCAAACATTGGTTAAAAGGATGCCCAAGGAACTTAATGAGATCTTCAAGGAACTTAGTGAGAACATAAAAGACATGAAAAAGGACCAGTCAGAAATGAAGGATACACTAATTGAAATGAAGATAAATTTTATGATCAACTTAATAATTTACCTGCTGCTCGACCAGAATGGCTCAGTGGTTGAGCATCGACTTATGAATCAGGAGGTCACGGTTTGATTCCCAGTCAGAGCACATGCCCAGTTGCAGGCTCCAGTGTGGAGCCATGCAGGAGGCAGCCGATCAATGATTCTCTCATCATTGATGTTTCTATCTCTCCCTCTCCCTTCCTCTCTGAAATCAGTAAAAATATATTTTAAAAAATTAGCCTGCTCCCTTGCCAGCATGGCTCAATGGTTGAATGTCAACCTATGAACCAGCAGGTCATGGTTTGATTCCCAGTGAGTGCATGTGCCCAGGTTGCAGCTCAATCCCTAGTAGGGGGAGTGCAGCCAATCAGTGATTCTCTTTTATCATTGATGTTTCTCTCTTTCCCTGTCCACTTATCTCTAAAATCAATAAAAATATGTTTGAAAAATTAGCCTTTTATATGTGGTCAAACATTTAATTAACTCACCCGTAGTGCCTTTGACAGGGCCAGACCAAATGATTTTGCCGGCCTTATCCAGTCCACAGGCCATACATTCACCACCCCTGCGTTAAGGGATTATTTCTAGGGGGAGGCCCTTGGGTGCAGCCTTGCCCAGCCTTCTCTATTGCCAGCATATTCTTAACTGCCTGTCTTGTTCCAGCTCCATCTGCTACCTTGGGGCTCAGAAGCAGCATAAACAAACATACAAAAAATAACTTTACAGGGACTCAACAGTAGAGTAGAGGATGCCAAGAAACAAATCAGTGATTTGGAATATGAGGAAGTAAAAAACACCCAATCAGAAGAGCAAAAAGAAAAAAGATTTCAAAAATAAGAAGGTAGTGTAAGAAGCCTTTGGGACAATTTCAAGTGTACCAACATTCACAGCATGGGGGTGCCAGAAGAATAGACAGCAAGATATTGAAACCTATTTGAAGAATAATGACAGAAAACTTCCCCTACCTGGTCAAAGAAATAGACATACAAGTCCAGGAAGCACACAGAGTCCCAAATTAGAGGAACCCAAAGAGGCCCACACTAAGACACATCATAATTAAAATACAAAACGTTTTAAAGAGATAATCTTAAAAGCAGCAAGAGAAAAGCAGTTAGTTACCTACAAGGGAGCACCCATACAATGTCAGCTAATTTCTCAACAGAACCTTTGCCAGCCAGAAGGCATTGGCAAGAAATATTCAAAGTGATGGAAAGCAAGGACTTGCATCTGAGATTACTCTACCCAGCAAAGCTATCATTTAGAATTGAAGGTCAGATAAAGAGCTTCACTGAAAAGAAGAAGCTAATGGAGTTCATCACCGCCAAACCAGTATTACATGAAATGTGAAAGGGTCTTCTTTAAGAAGAAGAAAAAGAAGAAGAAAAAGGTTAAAAATATGAACAATAAAATAGCAGTAAATACATATCTACCAGCAATTGAATCTAAAAATAAAAATAAACAAACAAGGATTCTAATGAACAAAATAAACTGTTGAATAAAATAGAACCAGAGGCATGGAAACTTGGAACAAACTGACGAATCTCTGAGGGAAGGGGGGAGGGGAGGGCAGGAAGAGATTAACCAGAGAATTTATATGCATAAATGCATTACCCATGGACATAGACAACAGGGTGGTGAAGGTCTGGGGCGGGGTGGGATTTGGATCAAGGGGAGCAATGGAGGGAAAAGGGGGGAACATCTGTAATACTCTCAACAATAAATTTGACATGTCAAAATTGTGTGGGGACTTATTAGAGTTTAAGGATTGAAAACTCTTAGATTTTAGGATTGGGTTTGTATTGCCTTGGAGTTACAAATTATGTGGGGTTTTTCAAACATTTTTATGGCAAAGATTTTTAAATGGATTTCCTTTGTTTTGCAGTTACTTCGAGAGCTTAAGCATCCAAATGTCATCTCTCTTCAAAAGGTGTTTCTATCTCATGCAGACAGGAAAGTATGGCTTCTGTTTGACTACGCTGAACATGACCTCTGGGTAAGGAGAATTGCTGGTAGACATAGGATCACTAGTTTCAGTCAGGGGTAATAAGAGTGACTAAAAACATTTCAAAATAAAAGTAACTTTATAAAATGTGGTTTATATTGTGCCAAGTCTAGAGTATTTTGCTTTGTATCACATTTTGATTTTTCTAGTTTGACCTTTGTAACATATTACAGAAAAAAATAAAATCTGAAGAGTATAAACAGCTATTCAATATTGTTGCCTAGCTATGTTTTTTATAAAAATTTAAAAAATTATCTGTATAAACTTTTTTTATAAAATTTAAAAGCAGCATATTTCCTTTTTTATTCTGTAGTGTGAAGGAATATAAAGTGAGAAGGTGGTCTCCTCATGTAATGAGACAAATACGTTATATTTGGAAGACTAGACAGATCTAGTGGTTCTGTTGTCATATGCCATTAGGCAAGTCTCTTAATGGCTGTAAAGCTGTAGTTTCTCCCATCTGTAAAATGTAATACTTTTCTTGCCTTTTTTATAGGACTTTTCTGAAGTATAATTTTGCATTCGAAAAGCTTTATAAACTAAGCATATGATACAAATGTAGGGAACTATTAATCATAATTTGAATATCATTCACAATTGATATTCAGTATTCTAATGTATTTCCTATTTTCATCATCAGAAATTCAAAATTGTACTTAGTAGAATTGGACATATTCTCCTATAGGAAGAATTTTTTGTGGCAGAGAGCTCTCCTACAAAATTAGGTCAGAATGAAAGTAGATTCTATTGTGGCTTTTAGTTATTTAGTGTTTGTTGGACCTATAATGAGAACATTTTAGATATCTAGACTCAAATATTTGAAGATTCTTGAAGTCAAGTAATTGAACTTCATCAGTTTAGCTTATATAATGAAAAATATTATGCTATATTGATAAAAATTATTATAAACGAAGAATGTAAATATACTTTGTCCAGCCGAAATACAAACAACTGCCTCAGTATTTTGTATTTACTAAAAGGATTGTTTTTTAAATTGTTACTGATAAAAATTTGAGTATCTAAAAATTGATTGACTCCTTTGTTAAATATAATAGTTACATTTTTTAAAAAAATCTAAACTTATATGCATATATAAATAACCCATGGACACAGACAATAATGGGGTGAAGGTCTGGGGAGGGGGCAGAAACAGGGTGGAGGGGGCCATTGAGGGAAAAAAGGGAACATCTGTAATACTTTCAACAATAAAGATAAATTAAAATAGAAAAGAAAATACCATATTGGAGATAAGACTTTCTGATATCTATATAATTAAAATGTATAACAGAATAGCCAAAATAATTTTGAAACATAATAGCAAAACTTATATCCTGATCAGTTATGTGTAAAGAAGAAGAAAAAAAGATTAAAAATATGAACAATAAAATGGCAATAAATACGTATCAGCAGTTGAATCTAAAAATTAATGAACAAGGAATCTAATAACAAAATAAACTGGTGAATAAAATAGATTCAGGAGTATGGAAACATGGAACAGACTGACAAATCTCAGAGGGAAGGGGGCAGGGGAGGATGGGAAGAGATTAATCAAAGAACCTATATGCATACTTGCATTACCCATGGACACAGACAACAGGGTGGTGAAGACTTGGGGAGGGGTGGAATCTGGGGGCGGGGGGATGGGAGAAAAAGGGGGGACTGATTATAATTTTAAAAACAAGTGAACAAAGCCCCATACATATTACATTCATTAACAATTGCTTCACTACTGTGAATTATATTTTTTTCTCATATTTAAAGGTCTTTAAACACTTCATTGTGTTTTGCATACTGGTATATATTTGCAAAATTTATTATAGCTGTACATTTATTGAGATAAAAAATGAAGATACAGAATATGGGAAAATTAGATTTACAGTTGTTTGCATGGAAAATAATACAATGATTTATGAATAATAATAATACCAGAATAATATCTGTTTCAATAGTAATGCAAGAATACAATGTGTTTTTCATATTCATAACTGTAAACCTACTTTGCCACATCCTGTATATATATTGATATGTAAAGGATTATAATATCATGGCTTACTTTCAGAAATCTTCAAAATAATTCACATTTTTCATTCAGCTATCCTATATAATAAAAGCCTAATATGCTAAGTGTCCAGTCGTCTGGTCATCCATTCAGCCAGTCAAAGCGTAATATGCTAATGATATGGCTAAGGCCGCTCAACTGCTTGCTATGATATGCACTGACCACCAGGGGGCAGACGGTTGACCAGTCGCTATGATGTGCACTGACAACCAGGGGGCAGATGCTCCGACCAATAGGTTAGCTTGCTGCTGGGGTCCAGCCGATCAGGAATGAGTGAGATGGGCCGGACATGTCCTGGAGCCCTCTCACGGTCCTTCCCCACCTGGCCAACTTCCCAAGTCCCTCCCTGGCCCGTCATGCACTGGTGGGGTCCCTTGGCCTGGCCTGCACCCTCTCACAACCTGGAACCCCTCTGGGGATATCGGAGAGCCGGTTTCGGCCTGATCACACAGGCCAGGCTGAGGGACCCCACTACGGCATGAATTCGTGTACCGGGCCTCTAGTAAATTATACTTGTAAATACAAAATTTTGAAGTAAAATAAGCACAAATTCCATGAAAACTGTTTAAAGTGAATTCAACTTCCAAAATAGTAAAATAGTTTAAATTCTTTTGCTAATTTTCAGAATTAGCCTTATTTACACAATTTTAACTTTAACAGGTTTCAGAAATTGAAACTTATCTGGGTTTTATATGCTTTCAGATTTTTTTTTTTCACTGATTCCAGAGAGGAAGGAGAGGGAGAGCGAGATAGAAACATTAGTGATGAGAGAGAATCATTGATTGGCTGCCTCCTACATGCCTCACACTGGGTGTAGAGCCCACAACCCAGGCATGTGCCCTTGATCGTAATGAACCCAGGGCCCTTCATTCCGCAGGCTGATGACGCTCTATCCACTGAGCCAAACCACCTAGGGCTATATGCTTTCAGATTTTTAAGAAATAGTTTCATTCTTTGTAGATTTTAATTTTCCATACTAAATGTGATATGATTCAAATTGTTTTTATAAGTTATCTGGAAATAATTATTTCAAACAGAAAATAGATACATGACATTTTCTGTTTTATGAAACTGTTGTCCAAGGTTCATGCTGATTGAAAATATTTTTTTCTTTTATTGTTAGCTTCTGTTCTTTTAAAATAAATCTAATCAAATCAAGTTTGGGTTCTTTTAATACAAATTCGGTAAATCAGGTGGTCAACATCAAGTTGAACCCTACATCCTCAAGCCTAACATAAAATCAAATACAATTCCAATTTATGAGAAGACTAGAGGCCTGATGCACGAAATTTGTGCAAGAGTAGGCCTTTGCAGCTGTGGCTGCCTGGATCCCTCCCTCGCAGCCACAGTGGCCTCGATCCTGCGGCTGCAGCCCCAGCTTCGTCCCAGAAGGATGTCCAGTCTAATTTTGCATATTACACTTTTATTATTATAGATTTACAGGCTAGTTTATAAACACGATTTGTAGTAAAACATAGTTGAGCATAGGAGATAATGGTTGGTATTCAATGTGATTTCTAGCATGCTGGTACATAATATTTCACTTTACATTAAGGTATAATAATCATATTTTCACAAATTATACTGTATGTAATGTTGCCAAATGTGTATAGATATTTAACATAGGCTTTATCATCTTCTTATTAATACTCTTTGAAGACAGATAAGTACTTTTAATGAAAACAAAATGATAATTCAGTTTACTAAAACCTGCTTTATTTGTTTTATTTTTCTTCTTTTAATTGGAATGAATGAGCTGGAATATAAGACAGCAGAGGGTTACCAAAAAATAGTTGTTAAAAGAGTGATTAATAAAATCACTTAAGTGTTGGTGAAATTTCATGATATGCATACCTTACATTTGTTATATAGCCTTGTAATAACAATAAAGTTAAAAATGTTCACACTGTTTTTTTGTAGTTATAAAATATTGGTAAAAAAGTGATTTGTAATAACCCAATGAAAACATTAACTGAAGAAATGTATGTAGCATTAATTGATTATCTTACGTCCCCTCCATATGTGTTCCTTTCATTCTGGCAGGTTTTACATTTTTTAAAAGATGATGTGTTTTAATTTATTTTTATTAAGCTCTGAGAGCCACTAGCTCTTCCTAAACTGAACAGACTTGATTGCCACATCATTTTTTAGGTGACAAAACATTCTAGATTATTATTTTGTTTGCCTGCTCTTAAATGCTTTGAAAAAAATGATTGAGGAGAAAATTAAAATAATATAATGCTACTAATAAAATATAGATTAATCATACTATATATGCGCTAATACTTCCCTCTAGGTAGGTAGTCTTTGATGTCTATTTTTTCTTTGGAAGGTAAAATGCTTTCACTCATTAATCACTAGTTATTCATATATCATAAGAAAATAGGAAGTAAAAAGTGTTACCCTATAATATTAAATATCTCACTCTTGTTTTAATTATGTTTACTAATTTCAAGCACATGCTTAATTTCCACTCATAAGTCCTGCTCGAATCTGCTCTTGTGCATATGTGCAGTGGTGCACACTGCAGAGCTGACTGCAGCTGGCTTCTAGACTTCCTTGCAGTTTAAGAATGCTTTAATTAAAATGAAGAAAGCTGTTAAGAGATTTTGAAATATTGGGTCTTATTTCTGTTGAATAGTTATTTATAAAGTGATTATTTTTCTGTTTATGAAGTGGTATTGTGTTTTCCTGGATTTCCACTAACACTTTACCTAGAAAACTTTGACAGATGGTACAAGACTTTTTTTTGTTAATCGGAATTTTTCATATTTCTAAATATTTCCACTGTGAACTGGTAATTTATATGTTATTTTTTCATGCTTCTATACATTTTATTGAACTATTTCCCTATTTGCTTTCTTTATAACCCATATATCATAAATAACTACCACATCTATGCCAAAGTATCTCTTGAAATTTGTTCTGTTTTTCTTTTCATTTAATCACTACAGAAAAAAAATTGATTCTGTTCTGGAAATTTTTCTATTAGATAAAAAAGGTTAAATATACTCTAAAAGTAATTTTTAATTATACTGTAAAATAAAATCACATTATTTCTTCTCTATTGTAATCATTTATTTTGTGAGACACTATCTTATGATTAGAAATGAAAATTTAGCTCCAGTTATTAGGAAGTTTATAAGTGATTTGTTATTCAGCAGAATGTGAAATTATTTTTTTAATGTATTTGGGAATTCCTGTGTTCCTTTTTCTGTTAGGAAAATATTATATATCACATTATCGTTCCCTCTTTCCTTTTTTAAGTGTCTGGTGATGTTTTTCTTTTTTCCCCCCAGCATATAATCAAGTTTCACAGAGCTTCTAAAGCAAATAAGAAGCCAGTTCAGTTACCTCGGGGAATGGTGAAGTCACTATTATATCAGATCCTAGATGGGATTCACTACCTGCATGCTAACTGGGTGTTGCATAGAGATTTGGTAAGTTGATATGTAGTTATGTTTAAGCAAGAAAGATGCATTTATATTTGGATTATTTTCTAGTTGTGTCTATATATCAGTGCTATATAGGCCTGTAAACCTTATAAGAGGGAGTGGGAGTGCTACGGTCTCAACATAGCCTCTCATTGAGCTTTTTATATAATGTGTTCTTTTCTGACATAACTAGCTGTCATCTACTGAAGAGGTGAAAGAGAACACATTTGTTTTCCTAAGCTTTTGCTTTTTCTTAAGTTTGTAAATAAAGAATTCACTTGTTTTCATTGATTATTAAAGGCCGGGCAAACTCTAGAAATTTACATATTTTTAAATAACTTGAAAATAAAACTTGGAGCCAACTGCTTGCTAAGTTACCTGTTAGAAGAGGAGGTGTTAATTCACTATATTAGTAGCAGTCTTATGCCACTAAGCCTTTATTAAATAAAATTGAGTACATCATTGAGAAGCCTTGCCATGTTAAGGTTCATTAAATTTTAAGAATTTAAAAACCTCAGAAATTGGATTTTATTTTATGTGGCAGAATAATTTTTGCCTTTTTTTGTTGTTTTTACCATCTAACATGAAATTGTTTATTAAATCTTAATAGATTTAAACCTCAAATTCTCTATTACATAATTACATTGTTATACTTTTGTTCTTTGTGAAGGTAGCAACTATAGTAAGGTTTATAACAGTGCCTTCATTTCAAACCATTATAAACACAGTGCTGGAAATGATTTTATCTCTACTCATGTGTAGACAGGTGCAGCTGATCTGCACACAGAGGCCCACTGAATCATTGTGCTCTGTATTTAATGCATCTAACCTCTGTCCTTCAAATCAGGTGTTGCAATATCATATTTCATCTACCTTCAATAAATCTGAAAATACATTTAATGGTAGTTATTTTATCTTCAATTCTCATACCTAGAAAGCATTTAAACTAAGACTGATAACACATCAGAAATTTGGTTGAAAGAACTTTTTCCTCATGCAACCTTTATATTTATTAGAATTAGAATAATCTATTTACAAATAGTGGGTTTACAGAACAAAAATGAGAAATTCTTTTCGTCTTTATGAGGCTGAAAATTTCTGCTTTTAAGGGATGGAGTCAGCATAGGGAAAAACTATAACTATTTTTGAGCTACTGACCTTTCTTATGATCTCTAAAAAAATAAAATCTTGGCCTAAAGGGCATTTTCCTTCCATAGAGATAGTGTTGCATTTTATTGTAAATTATATTTTCATCATGAAAATATGTTTATTAGATGAATACAGACTGATTTTTAAACCAGTCTTAAAGTTTTTATGTTAATGTATAATGTACTTGAACTACTTACAGTAGTATTAACTATTAGAGGCCTGGTGCATGAATTTGTGCACCAGTGGGGTCCCTTGGCCTGGCGTGCAGGGTCAGGCCAAAACCGACTCTCCAACATCCCCTGAGGGGTCCCAGATTGCAAGAGGGTGCAGGCCAGACCGAGGGACCCCCACCAGTGCACGATTGGGGCCGGGGAGGGATGCGGGAAGTTGGCTAGGCGGGGATGGACTGTGGGAGGGCCCCAAGGCGTGTCCAGCCCATCTTGCACAGTCCCAATTGGCTGGACCCCAGCCGCAAGCTAACCTACTGGTCAGAGCGTCTGCCCCCTGGTGATCAGTGCACATCATAGCGACTGGTCTACTGATCAACTGTCTGCCCCCTGTTGGTCAGTGCACATCATAGCGAGCGGTTGAGTGGCCTTAGCATATTATGCTTTGATTGGTTGAACAGGCGACCAGACACTTAGAATATTAGGCTTTTATTATATAAGATTATATAGGACTAGAGGCCCAGCACATGAAATTTGTGTTGGGGTATGATCCCTAGGCCTGGCCTGTGATCAGGGACATCTTCCCCAGCTGCCCGCAGCTGGCCCTGCCTCTCGCTGCCACCCACCCCTGGTTCCCCTTTAGCCATCAGGTGATCAGTGCCTGACAGCTGGGGGAAGGGTCCAAGAGGTCGGCTGTTCCCGCCTGCTCACCGGCCCCACTCCTGCTGTGGGTGGCCATCAGGTGATTGGAGTCTGCCAGCTGAGGAAAGGGACCAAGAGGTGGTCAGTGCGCCTCATAGTGACTGGTCTAGCAGTCCTTCTGGGCATTCTGCCGTTAGGGTCAATTTGCATATTACCCTTTTATTATATAGGATAGAGGCCTGGTGCATGAGTGGGGGTGGGTGCTGGCTGGCCTTCCCTGAAAGGGGCCCTGGATCAGGGTGGGAGGTTCCCGCTGGGGGACAGGGCCAGCTGGGGTGAGGGACCATGGGGTTTGCAGGCTGGCCCCATTCCTGATCAGGGTGGGGTCCCCCTGGAAGGTGGGGCCGGCCTGGGTGAGGGGCCGCGGGTGGTGGTTTGCAGGCTGGCCACACCCCCATTGGAGTTGGGGTCCCCACTGGGGGGCATGCCGACCTGGGCGAGTATAGATAGTAGTAAAAATAATCATGGTTAGGAGCCAGCAGTCCCGAATTGTGAGAGGGATGTCCCAGAGTGGAGACGGTGAAAGCCAGTCTAAGGGACACCCACCCCACCCCTACACCCCCCCCCCATGCACGGATTTCATGCACCGGGCCTCTAGTCTACACTAATAAGAGAGAAATATGGTAATTGGCGTACGACCGCTACCCTTCCCATTGGCTAATCAGGGCAATATGCAAATTAACTGTCAGCCAAGATGGCGGCCGGCAGCCAGGCAGCTTGAAACTAACGTGAAGCTTGCTTGCTTCAGTGATAGAGGACTCCAACATTCCCTGCCTGCCGCTGCAGGCCTCTGAGCCTGCAGTTTCAAACATTGTAACAAATACAGACGCTAAACAAAACTCCAGAAACCAGCTTTCAGCCAGCTGGGATCTCAGAGCTGGAGTTGATACAGAGTTTCAAGAACCGAAATAAACCAGATACCTGCTTTCAGGAGCGGAGGCCTAAGAGCTGGAGCTTCAGAGCTAAAGCTGGCCCAGAATAAAAAAAAAGAAAAAGAAAACAAGGAGCAGTTGGGAGCTTCAGTCCCAGCCTGAAAACAGCCATCAGCCCCTCACCCAGACTGGCCAGGCACCCCAGTGGGGACCCCCACCCTGAAGGGTGTGTGACCAGATGCAAAGAGCCATCATCGCCTCATCCAGGCTGGCCAGGCACCCCAGTGGAGACCCCCACCCTGATCCAGGACACCTTTCAGGGCAAACCAGCCGGCCCCCACCCGTGCACCAGGCCTCTATTCTATATAGTAAAAGGGTAATATGCCTCCCAGCACTGGGATCAGCGGAGCCACAAGGCCTCCCGGCACCGGGATCAGTGTGACGGGGCAGCGCCCAAACCCCCTGATCGCCCTGCGGCTCTGTGTGTGACAGGGGGTAGGGCCACAACCTCCCTATCCGCCCTGCTCTGTTCGTGACAGGGGAAGGCGCCCCAACCCCTTGATCGGCCCTGCTCTGTGGGTGATAGAGGGCGGCGTCCCAACCCACTGATCCGCCCTGCTCTGTGTGTGACAGGGGGCGGTGTGCCAACTCCCCTATTGGCCCTACTCTGTGAGTGACGGGGGGAGCTCCTCAACCCCCTGATGGGCCCTGCTCTGTGTGTGACAGGGGGGAGCTCCCCAACCCCCTGATGGACCCTGCTCTGTGTGTGACGGTGGGGGGGAGCTCCTCAACCCTTTGATGGGCCCTGCTCTGTGCATGACAGGGGCAGCGCCCCAACCCCGATTGGCCCTGCTCTGTGCGTGACAGGGGGTGGCGCCGCATCCTCCCCATCGACCCTGCCTTGAGTGTGACAGGGGGCGGTGCCCCAACCCCCCAATCAGCCCTACCCTGAGCGTGACTGAGGGTGGCATTGCAACCTCCCAATCTGCCCTGCTCTGTGCATGACGGGGCTGCGCCCTAACTCCCCAATTGGCCCTGCTCTGAGCCCAACCAGGGGCTGCACCTAGGGATTGGGCCTGCCCTCTGCCACCCGGGAGCAGGCCTAAGCCAGCAGGTCGTTATCTCCCGAGGGGTCCCAGACTGCGAGAGGGCACAGGCCGGGCTGAGGGACCCCCCCCCCCCACACACACACACACACACCGAGTGCACAAATTTTTGTGCACCAGGCCTCTAGTACATATATAAAAGCCTAAATGACCATTATGACCAAACGACCGGAATGACCAGAATAACCGGTCGACTAGTTGCTATGACGTGCACTGACCACAGTGGGAGTGCCGCTCAGCCAGAAGCCAGATTCATGGCTGGCAAGCATAGCTTTGGCGGCAGGACTCTCCCGACTCCGCAGCAGCGCTACCAAGTGGCGGTGGCAGGCTCAGTGGACTGGGATGAGCACGAGAGGCGTGGCACCCGGCCCCAGCTCGGGCTCCTCCCTGGCCACCTGCCACTTGGCACACTGCAGGGCCTTAACCGGAAGTCAGACATCCCCTGAGGGGTCCCGGGCTGTGGGAAGGCACAGGCCAGGCTGAGGGACCTTCCCTCCCACCCCCACCCATGCATGGATCCGTGCACCAGGCCTCTAGTCCTATATAAAGAAGTAAACAGGCACCAGCTGAAGTAATGTGGGACAAGTTATTTCAGGCCCCTCCTCCCCAAGTTAACCTGCTTATATAAAATAGGAGTGTTGGGTTAAGGACTATGAATAATTTTTGCCCTTTTTATCAAAAGGAACTAAGTGTGAAATCTTAATGAAAACTTCAAATAAAAATATGTTTAAGTGATTCAAAGTAAGGAAAAGTTTGAAGTCTATTAGACTGATTGGATTGAGTTTGGTGGTTTTCCTCTGTCCAGTCAAATAAGACATGAAGCTTCCAAATCATATTTGATACTTTTTGTGTACAGGGCCAAGGTTTGATTTGACAGTGGTGTCTGAACACTTCTGAAAAGGTAGTCCCTCCTGTATTAAGTTAAAAGCACATTGGCAAGTGCATGAAAAGTATTCACTTCCAGTGCCTCTGTTGTGACCATTTTGAGGACATCCAGCCAATTCACTCAC